TCAGCAGCTGGGGTGGGCACCACAAAAACCAACCTGACCTGGCATGGGTGGGCTTGAAAGGTTTGGTTTGACAGCTCCACAAAACATCCTCGGTCCCTCCGTATCCCACAAACGTGAGCTCCCCTCGACCTCACCACAGACGCTGCCCCTGTGACATCGGCGAAGCCTTCCCACAGGAACGCTGCCCTTCCAGGAGACGTTGGCGCTGGCAGGTCCTGGCAGGGGCTGTGGGAACACGCGGCTGCAGCAAAGCTGGGCAGTGTGGCAGGAGGAGACGGGCACAGAAGCAGCAGCCTGTGCTGCTGGGAAGGAGTTTCCTTGAACCACCCGCAGCCTTTGGCCCAGGAGCTGCTTCTACACACAGAGCTATCGGCAGCCCCCGTGTTTCTCAGTCTCTCCTCTCAGGAAGACAGGATCTTGGAGGCAAAAGCCTCCCTTTCCCATCTCAGCCAAGAGTTTGCATGAGCAAGCTCTGTGCATGCCAGCGCTGAGCCGATTCCCTGCATGCTTGCCCACCGTTCACAGGCACTGGCCAGGGGCTGTGCCAACCACACCAAAACGCAGAGAGAAGAGCAGGTTTCCCAGTAAGTTAAACCCACCAGCAGCAGAAACCAGCCGTGCCTACTGCACAGTGCTCAGCTGCACCGGGGAAGGGCAAGGAAGGAGCAGAGTTTCCTTCTGGTGCTGCACTGATGCTCTAGAGATGCTGGGGACATCCAGAGCCCATGGGCATCGCCACAGGGACCGGGTCTAGTGGTGCCCACAGCTCCTTGCTCACAGGGGTAGGAGTTCTTGGTCTCCCATGGGCAGACACCGCTCCCCATCCACACCTCCCATCCCACTGAGAGTGGGGTTTGCAGCCTGGCTGTGGATGTCTCCGGGCATGGCACGGGGCAGATTACCCAAGGACATTCCTATTTGCTTTAACATTTCCCATAGCATCACTTCTTGTTCTAGCACAGGAGCCAGAGATCACTTCCCATCGCTCTTCCACTGCCTCAACAGGGCAGAGAAATCCCCAGCTGCACAAGACACCCTGGAAAACACCCTCCTTGCTCCCAGTTCCGCTTTCCACCCAGCCTGTGGGTAACTGGAATGGACCCCCTTGAGATTCCCACACCTCCTGCCTGCTCACAGCAAAAGGAAAAGCTGTGTACAAATCATCAGGAGCCAGCATGCTGGTACAGGTGAAGATCTGCAAAGTCCACTGCTCCTTAACTTCACATCCCCCAGCGCTTTTGGTGTCCAAAGCAAGAGGTTTCTGAGCTAAGACCTCAACCCTTGCCAGCAGCAGCCTGACCTTCACCCGCAGGTACCACCGTGCTCCTCACCCCTTATTCCTGGACACCCTGGGTCCCTGCCTTGCCTAGGGAAGCAGGAAGGAGAGCAGAGGGGGGTACTTACAAAAACACCCAGCAGAGAATTTAAGAGCAGTATCCTTTTCCCAGGACAGGAGTCGGGAGGATGCGGTTCTGGCACAAGGATGCCCTGGTCACTCCTGCTCCGTGAGGTGGCCGGATCCTCTCCCTCGGTCATGGCTGCGGTTGAGGAGCCGAAGGGGCAGGGGATGGTACGGGGTGCGTTCACAGAGGAGGCTCTGAGGCAGCCAAGAACAAGCAGTGCAGGCTGGTGACGGGGAGCAGGAGCAGGCTGGGTGCTGCAAGGGGCCGGTCCTGCTCCTCCAACTGTGCTGGGAGAACAAACAGCACCGCCTGGCCCCGCTGCCTCCCCTGCGATGCAGGGAATGAACAAACGAGGTCCCCAGTCTGTGTTGGGATGATGCCACCATCCCACGGGGCTCCCAGCAGCAGGCTCTGGTGAGGAGCCCTGCGTGGAAGGCGGCTGCGTGGGTACGGATCCCCCGGGGTGGTGGGGAGTCCCTGTGCCCATCCAGACCTCAGCGTTTCCTAATTTGACACCACATCCTCCCGGTCAGGGACTGCCCCTTGTGCCCTGGGCTTGCAGGTCAACACAAGGGATGTCTCTGTGGAGATGATTCAGTGACCATCCCTTATTGGTGAAGCTGTTCAGGGCCCTTCCTATGCTTGGAGAATCTTTAATAAAATTCCTGCGGTTGTTTTTACTGGAGGGACGTCGTGGTTTAGGTAACCCCAAGAGCTTCAGCGATGGTGCTGTTATGTCTCTTGCTGGGTGACACAGCATTAAAGCCAGCAGCAGCAGCAGCCCCCAGCCCATGCTGCAGCTGGGTTCTGATGCCTCCAACAGGTTGGTTGTGCAGCTGGGGGGGATTTTTGGCAGCTTGTGTAGGAGGGAGGGTTTGAGGGGGAAGGCAGGGAGAGGCAGAGCTGCGGGGTGAGGACTCACAAGACAGGACCCTGCTTTGCTCATCCTGACTCAGGAGCCGAATCCTGCTCTCAGCTACAACCCAGCTGCCTGCCTGCAGCGGCAGGGGACGGGCAGGACAGACTGCAGGATGGATGAGAACCCTTGGTCCCCGAATCCTGCCCTGTCTGCCCCACACACCAGCCGCACACCAGACCCAAACCCCCTGGGACAGGCAGCAAGGCGGCACTGGGTGCCTGCCTGTTGGGGAGCGGGAGCTGCTCGTGGGCTGGAAACCACAGCCATATGTCAACGAAGGCTGAGGAACACGATGTCTTTTGCTAGGGGGTGAATCAGTACGAGAGTCTGATATTCTTCTTCTCCTGAATTAATTAAGCAGCAATCTCGGGTATCTTTGTCTTTACAGCTATTATCTGCTTTTCCCAAAGAGCTTCTTGAAGCACCGTCCCGATGGGAGTGAGGGAAGGAGTTCCCACACCCCCTGCTCTCAGACTCCCATTCCCTGCGACACGTGGAGAGATGGAGGCAGAGCGGTGGGAGCCGACCTGACCACAAGCACTTCTGCTCCTCCAGTGATGCCCAGCGGAGGCTCGGTTTTCAGCAGAGGTCAGCAATTCCTCCCCAAAAACCCCTGGTTCTTGTAGCATCTCTGCACCCCAGTGTTCCCCAGCTCACCCCCTTGGGACCCTGCTCTGCCCACTGCACCCAGCCGACCTCCCGTGCCACCACCACATCCTCACCCACTGTGGGGAGAAAGGATTCCCCAAAAGTGCCATGGAGCAAACCCAGGGAGTCCCTGTCCCGGTCACAGTTGTTGACTGAGACCACTTCTGGGTAACTGGAGCCGTAGGACGTGAGAAGCCACGTCCCTGCCCTGAAACCGAAGGCGGTTGGATGCCTGCATGGTCTGAGCGAGCCAGGGCTGAGCTGGACACGCTGCGGCCAGAAAGCTGATGCCTGGGCAAGGGAGATGAACTTTGCCTGACACCCCCAGGCTGAGCCGTCCCGCAGCCTCTGGGCCACTGCTTGCCCAAACCCCTCCAAGCCCCCAGGCCACAGCTGCCCCTGGGGTGGGTGCTCAGAAACCGCTGGTTTCTCTGCGCTGACTGTAATCCGTCTCACCCTGATATAGCCACTGACCCGGCGAGCGTCTAAAATTAGC